TCAAAAATACTACTTTCGCAATTACTGCTTCTTCCCCAAAAAAGGAAGGAAAAAAAAAAAAAAAAAAAAAAAAAGAGGACTGTACCGCTTTCTGCTCCTGAAACACTGGCAGTTGAAAAAAACTAATGACAGTGTATAGGCAGGGGAGAAAAAGAATGAAAAGACGGAACAATTTATTTTGCTTCCCTCAGCCTCAGTCCCAACAGAAAGACCACCAGAGATTCCACAAATAAAATCAGGATGAATCTAAGATGGATGATGAAAGGCAAATAAAGCACCCACAAGTTTGCTTTATACTACTTTTTATGTCTAGTTATACAAAATACAACTGCTAAGTAAAACAAGCCCATGGCAAAATAATTTTTTGACTGTTCTGTTTCTTTTTCTCCGCAGTGCTTCCTGGAGAGACTGAACAGGATGACTTTTGACAAGTTATTTCATGATACAACCGGTACAGCCTGGTTTCCTACCAAGTACCACATCATGCTTTGATACACATGATGGAGCTCAGAGTCTCGCGCTACATAGAATTTTGCGTGTGTATGCAGCCCCACATATACATACAAATATACATGCAGGGTGAAACTGCTGTCTGACATTCCCCTGGGGACCTTCCTCTGACTGGGGATTTACTTCAGCTGTAAGACTTGTACTCCCCAAAGCAAAACTGGTAGCAGTTATTCAAGGGATTCAGAAGTTATTAGAGACAAATACATAATGCATTTACAGTATAGGGTTATGAAGAGACATCGAGCCACAGTAGATAACCTATTCAACATTCTGGCTCCAGTAAGTCAAAGCTTTAGATGAACATATCAAAAAACAAAACCCTCCACTTACAAAAAAAACCACCAAACTTAATCCCCCCAGTTTTGTGGGGCTTTTTGTTTGTTCGTTTTACTTTAAATAGATGATGGTGCATGAAGTGCTCAGGGCTATCAGATTTTACAAAACAAAGCGAGAACTTCCTTTGTAAATCAGGATTAAAAAAATAATCTATTGATGAGTGAACTTCTAAGAACTATTTTCAACAGTAATTGGTATTTAGAAGACAAGATTTGAAGTAATGAATTTACTTACATCTAGTATGTAGCAGCAGTCCTGCTGCTGTTCTGTTCTTCATGCTGTAAGGATTCATAGGAGCTGGGAACAGAATATGCAGATCAACCCAAAAAGCTGGATCAGAAACATATCCAGCACTCAGTTTGTCAGCACTCAGCTGCTAAATATTTTACAAAATCCCTTGGAAAATACACTGAAAAATTATAGAAGGTCACTCAAGAAGCAGAAACATAGATGAACGCATGGGCTGGATTATGTTCCACTGACTCAGGTAAGCTTTTCCATTTCTGTGCCTGAGGTTCTCCGTTTATACAGGGGCCAGTGATTTACAGTGAAGTCAAGGTCTTCCTAACCCTCACGTGTCATACTTAAATTCCACCTGGGTTCACATGCTAACATTTATAACTGACTTAGTGTATAGTTTTAATAAGCTGCTGCATAGTCCAGTATATAACAAGTTATTATATTTATTTTAAACCATAGTGAACAACCATGCATCCATTCATAATCTGTTGATAAAAGTTACAGTTAACACTTCACAAACCTCTTTGCAAAGTGTAATGTGCTGTAGGATCAGGCTGATGATGTCTTTTGGGTTTTAACAAGGAGTCATCCTTGACCTGTCTGGTCAACTGGTGCAGAGCGGCTCATTCCCATATTCTTCACAATTAGTCTTGGCAAAGGGAAGAAGAAGTTTTCTTCAAAAGAGCTGGTGGAAAAATCCGAGAATATATACAGGAAAGGGCTGGGGATCAGGAGTCAAGAACTCAGCCAAAGGAAGTCTGGTTACATCATACAAATCAATAAATTGAAGGAAATACACAGAATGCCCCTTCAAAACAAATTAAAAAGGACAATTTTTTTTTGTAGAATTTTCTTTGAGTGTCTGAAAATTCCATTATCTCAAAAACATCTTTGGAAGATAACACAAGTGTTATATGTAGAATGACTTCATGGGAAATGGACGCAGTACAGAAATAAGTATTTCTGCCAGATGAAACAAGACAAAAAAACCCCACAAGAAAATGATAATTCCTACTGCTCCAAAGAAGAGTCAACCAAATATAAGAGGTAGTACTGTGGCTCCTCTGTGGCACCGTGTTTTGCCAGCTAACAAACACTAAGCAACTAGGGCAGTACTGTTCCTCTAAGTTGCACATACAAGGGAAAAGGGGCTGAACCAATGTGCTTAACTAGCAAATTTGGGTAATATGCTGAAATAACTAAGCACCTATCTCACAGCCCAAGTGGATTTTCCTCCATCAAAGCTCTTCTAGTGTTTGCTAGCAAAAGAAGCACAAAGCAAGACTGACTCACAAATATCAGTCAGATTCAGATTCAAATCAGCCCTTCATATCTTTGTAATTGGGAGGGATTTCTTCCTGACTTAAATTATTATTCAAAAAATACAGGAATATAAGAGCACCCTTTGAAGAGATCCACACATTTATGAAGAGCTAATTACACTGTTGATCATTCAAAACAGATTCATTATGAACTCAACATGAGGCACAAAAGCCATTTTATGAGTGGCCTTATTTCTGCATCTAGTGAACCAAGGAGTGAAAATCCTTGCAAAAAGCCAAGAATTATGAACATAATCCTCTCATATGCCACGTCTCAGCAGGTAAGATTAAAAAGACAAAACAGAACACCTGAAGACTGCAACAACAAAGAGTTTATTAGAGTCGAGAATATATAATCACTGTACAGAAGATATTCAGAGCTGAAGTGTGAAATACTGAACAGCTCACAGTTCATTCTGGTTGCTCAGCCTATTAGTGATAATTTAATTGGTTGTCTACAGCTGGTAAACTTATCAGCACTTAAAAACATTTTTGTAAGCAGGGAAGAAATGATTGTCCTTTCTAAATGATAACATTGCTGAAGGTGGAAAATAAAGGATTATACAGATTATATTTAAAACTCACTCAAGGAACAAAGTTGGTGAGAAGGGAGTGCCATAGTTTTGTGTTTTTTTCTGCACTGAGGAACTGTAGCCTCACTGCTGTAACGCTGTACCAATTCATGTTGAGTACAGCAATATGTTATGTTTTTAAATAAGAAAATATATTAACACGTATAAGAATTTACCATCAAACCCAGCCTCTTCCAGTTATCTTTGGCTTGGGAAGAAGCTGCTTACTTCAGCCTTTGAGGCTCAAATATTTTCCCTAGAAAGAAATGCCATAATATTTCAGCCTGAAGGAGGATATAAACAGCCATTTTCCTTTAAGAAGAACAGAGATTCAGAAAAGTTCTCAACCTCCTGAGCTCTCAATTCTCCATGCTACCAAACCTGTAGCTTTTGCCTTCCAAAACTGTTCGGTGAAGTCCACAAGGACTTGCAAAAGTCTTTCTTGAGCATTTGCTTGTTTCCACCACAGGGAGGCTTATTTTCTCCAGTACTAAAAGAAAACAAAATAAACACAAAGAACAGCATTTATTCAACCTGATTTACTCTCAAACAACAGAAGTTATGTGTAAATTGAACCCTGCGTTTAAAAACATGGTAAAATGCCTAAAGGCAGGCAATTTTCACAAACCCTCAGGAAAACAGGTTGGAAATGAACTCTATCTGCCCCTTGACAAACAGTTTCATCCAGTCTACAAAATCCTGCTGGTATATTTTCCCTATTTTATTTTGGCATCCAACAGGAGGAAAACAGAAACCCTGTTCTGAGGGAAAGAACTACAGCTGCAGCCAACCATTAGTACAACCCCAAAATGTACAGCTACGTTTTAGGGGAGACACCACTCACCCTCCAAGATTTCACTTTTTTAAACGCTGCTTAACACGAACCCAGAATGCAGCTGACTTGACTTGTAAATTTACAAGGGAAGAAAATGTGAAATTAGTCACTTCAACTGGAGATTGCTTCCTTCCTCTGCAGAAATAAATAATGCTGCTAAAATGAAAATGATTCTCCAGGGAGAAATGGCTATCTAGTCTTCATTAGTATCAACTAAAATCAGGATGCACTTTTGCTCCTCTTGAGCACTACTGCACAACACCATTAACTTATTCTAAATGTTACAGTCCTTTACTTTTGAACAACAGTTTTTTGATAACCATTAAGGAGACAAGTACTATATAAAAAGGTCTGTAAAGTATCTGACAAGATACTAGATTAGAGACACATTGGAAACTAAACTAAAAGCTTCATAACACACCTTAGAACTGAACTCAATTTACAATATTGTAACAAAAGAGCAACAGCAAGCTGATGCCAAAATATCTAGATTGTTTTATCCAAGAGCTTTACTTACTAGACAGTGACATATAGAATGCTGATACACAACAGTTACTATAATAACCAACCTTATTAAAAAGCTCTTAACTGCTGCAGTAAACAGCACAGATCCTTGTAAGCCTATTTTGGAGGCATTGAGAGAATAACTAACTATGGATAAAAAAAAAAATCTTGAGGGGCATTTCAAATTAAAAATTGTATGGCATTAGGCCAAAATCTGCTTTTTAAGCATGAGTCATAATACCTATGCAGTGTTTTTTGTTTTGGTTCAGTTTTTTATACTATTACTATTAAGAGCAAGGCCATTGGGAATTCAATGCAGCATTATATTTGAACAAATTGAAAGCTTCAGTTGGCCATTGTGTAAGATGACCTCTTTACAGCAAATTCAATGATGCTTTAATTGTTCATTTGTTCAACGATTTACAGGCTCTGTGAAGACTCCAGCAAGCAAATTCTTAAGATTGCCTCAAATAAAAAAGGAAAGATAACGATTTTGACTAATGAAGTACTAAATATCACTAAAAACTGTCCTGCATCACTTGTAAAGAGAATAGACATTAATTACACTTAATTTTGATAGGTTTTTTTTCTAAGTTTTTTTTTTTTTTTAAATATATAAATAGACCCCAGGTTCTTAAGACTTGTCAACTGCTGATTAATTTGTGACTATTCTTTTTGCACTTATAAGCATCCAGTATTCTTGAAGGGGGAAGCCTGCAAGTGTAATTATTTACAGAACATGAATGGAGGCAATAACCTGAACTCCAAAACGAGCAGAAGAATCCTACATCACATTAAGCACTTACACAGCAACACCCAATTGTTTTAATTTTGGACACCCGATACTCAAAGTAGAAAGGAAAGCTAAAAGCACATAGCTAGCACACTCTGTAGCAGCACATGAGGGATGATTTCAGGGCCTCAGGAAAAACAGTCCAAAAGTCTCTGTGCTGGAATCCAGCATCAACCAGATGGAGAGGTAAAAAACCTATGTGACAACTGGATCAGGCTTGCATTAGTGGCTGTCACATCATCAGCCTGTTGCTGTTTCATTCCTGAAAGCTAGAAGCCTGGAGTTCAAATTCTTGGGTCCTTCTAAATATTCTGTACAAATCTGTCCTGTGATTTTAAAATAAGTTGTAAGTGCTGAAGAAGGGTCAAGCAAGAACAACTCTGAGTGGAAAAAAGAAAAGGACACCCAAATCAAACCTGTAAACTCTGACTTACTAATACAGCTTCACCACTGCAATAGCAATTATCTGTGAGAGTCTGGCAGGCACCTAAAACCAATGAAGGGAAAAAGATATGTCTTTCAAAAAGTGACTGTCAGTATGTGACTAAAAGAAAGGTCTATATACATACTGGATGCTCTTCAAATTTTAATCTCGCCTCTTTATGATGTTTTGGTTATTTTTTTTTTTTTTGAACCTTGAAGTACATACTAGGCATTTTTCACTTTGTCTTATGAATTTGCTGTCCTCCACTCTATGATCAAAGTAATCCATAATGAATGGCAACAAATTTTGCAACGTTTTCACATAATTACACTGCTTTTTTTCACATCAAGTCAGAGATCACCTTTATTAAATATATACGCAGATGGAAACAATATTTTTGCTTCTTACCCTGCACTACAGTGCAATTCTTCAAAACAAAAATTAAGTTTGCAGGAAACAACAGATTAGCTGGAAGACCTTTAGCAAAATGGACAGCCATAAAAATAGTTCTCCTCAGTTTCTATCAGAATTTGATCAGTCTTTTGAAGGAAGAATCAATAAAAAAACCTGAGATAATGACTGGCTTTTCATATCAGTTTTATTTTTCCTCTCAATTCCATTTCCTGTAATGAGCCTAATACTTAAGGCAAACACTGCAGTATCTTAAATCCCTGATAAAGACAATGTGCACACTAAATATGTCAGATGGTTTTAGGGGGAAAAAAAACATTTTAAATCCAAAGAAGAAATGCTTTTGTGAACACAGTTTTGTTAGACATGAAAATTAAACATTTTATTGTCTTACTGTGGCTTGTAGTAAGATTGCACACATACGAGTGGTTAAACATTTCATTCTCCATACTAGAGCAAAGCTAAATTTTAATAATAAGGAGAGTGGAAACAATAATCTATTGCCACCCCAGACCATTAGCAAGAATCAGCTAATGCTTGAGGGTGGATGGGATCTCTGGAGATCAGTTGTGCCAAGCCTACTGCTCAAGCAGGATGAAACAAAACAGGTTGTTCATGACGTTGCACTGTTGGACTTTAAGCATCTCAGCAGATGGAGACTGTCACCTCTCTGGGAAACCTCTCTGAGTGTTTGACTACCCTCACAGTAAAAAAAAAAATCTTTATGTTTAGATGAAGTTTCCTGTCTTTCAGTTTGTGACTGTTGTGTCTTGTCCTGTTACTGGGCAGCACTGAAAACAGACTGACTCCAGCTTCCATCAGGTATTTATACACATGGATAAGATCCCTCTGAGCCTTCTCTTCTCCAAGCTGAACCATTCCAGCTCTCTCAGCCTCTCCTTGTATGACAGATGCTCCAAGCGCTTGATCATCTCCATGGCCCCTTGCTGGACTTGCTCCAGCACGTCCACACCTCTCCTCTACTGGGGAGCCCAAAGAGGGCAGAGCACTCCAGATGCCATCTGGCCCAGCACTGTGTAGAGGGGAAGGATTGCCTCCCTCCATCTGCCAGCAACACTCTGCCTAATGTAGGGCCAGGCTGGATGAGGCTTTGAGCAACCTGGGCTAGTGGGAGGTGTCCCTGCCCATGGAAAGGGGTTGGAACTCAGTGATCTTGAAGGTCCTTTCCAATTCTAACCATTCTATGATTCTTTGACCTCCTCCCACAGCTCCTTTACTTGGTGGTGTAGAGATTCCACCACTGCACACCTCCTGCAAGCACGGAGCCCAATTCCCACTGCCCCATCAAGAAATCTCAGCCACCCCTTACAGCCCCAAATCTGAAAAACTTAATTATTCCCCAGGATCTCAATCTGTGTTGAGGCCTCTGACACAGGGTATAGCTGCTCATGTAGCTGCGAGGATCATGCTCTGTGGTACAGTGTCAACACTGCAGAAGATGTGGATGCTGTTATGAGCAGAGTTCTTGGCTCCTTCTGTGCAAGATGCTGTCTGTTAATGATCAAAATAACCATCTGCAATGCACAATTAAGGAAGTCTAGCAAAGGTAGGAAAGAAAGAAGTTATCTTCACTCATTTACTCTGGGAATTAAAGCTAAGGATGTTCTGGATCTTTCCCTCAGAACTCCACCTTTCAAATTTACAGTTCTTATCCCTGATAATACAACCGAGGATACATCCTACTTAGCATGTTTGCTAAGGCGCTTTAAAAAATTTTCTAGGACCACTATGAGCTTGCTCTCCAGTTCTGGCAGCAAGAACACACTTCTAACTTGTTGGAAAATGAACTAAAACATCATAAATAATGAAATTAAGTCTTCAACTTACCACTTGTAACCTCTCACTTTACTCAGCTTTCACTGAGACCATCAATCGAGAAGGTATCTTACCTGTGCAAACTTGTGTATCTGTTCCACCACAGCTGCAAAGAGGGCATGGACACTTTCATCAATCAGGCTCTGCATGTAATGGACAGCTTCTTCATCAGACAGGTCCAGACGAAACTTGTCCTGCACCTAGAATGCGGGTGGAGATGACAAAAAATAATTCAATTTAACAGTTAAAACAAATACTATTCTATCTGAACTATACAGTAGCAGACATAATGATTTCAGTTATGGAAGTTTAGTAAAGAATCTCTCTTTTACTTCTAAGTTACAGCAGAAAATTGGAAATTTACAATGTTACAAAAACACCCATTTTTAACTGTTTCATAAAAATTAGTATTTAAATAAGATAGAAACAGCCCCCATACATCTCATGCCCCCAGCTAGTAATTCTAAAGCTCAAGGCCAGAAAGTCAAAAGAAATACCTGGACATAAGACTTTAAACACAACTAAAATGCTGTGAGAGAAAGAGAAAATACTCCACATTCACTAAACAAGAATGTAATGCCACTTGAGCAAAATTACACAGCTTTGCATATTAAATACAATGTTGGAAGAGTCTAGATCAACCTAACCATGTTTGAAATTATCTAAACACTTCCTTATTCTAAGCTTCTTTTCAGATAAAATTATCTTTCAGAAACTTTAAGGCAATTAGGTAAAAAATAAAGAATCACAGGAAGGGGCAAGCAAATCAACCCCATCAAAACTGACCTTTACAGGGCAGGTGAGAATTTCATTAACTTTGATTACATCCACCATCCATGTACAGTTGGTTGGAGACATTGATACCCCTTACATTGTTTTTTCTTTTGACAGCAATATATTTTAACTGTTGTAGCAATAACGGAGTTTGTTTTACATGCAATTTGTATGTGAATTAAAAGCTGAAAGCACTATAAGAATACAGCAACAACATCTATACTTTCCTATTTCAGCCTTGGCAAAGTCTTGACCCATGAATATTTACAAAGGGTGCAGTGGATGCCCTTCTGTGAATTCCAACTTATTCCACGGAAATTGTTCAGAACTGCTCCAGATGGCAACATCTCACATGCACCTTTACCACAGACATTCCTTTGGTAATATTCAAAAAAACCCTGTACATAGAATTGGTGAGAGTTTAAACAGATCTTTAGGGGGAAAAAAAAAAAAAAAAGAAAAAAAAAAGAAATATTTTGCTTTACAGGAGCCAAGTTTTGCAGACCTGCCTTTTCCTCACAACATTTATGAGAAGCAGATGCATATATAAACAGTTTGGATGAATTCAAATAATCTGATGCATGGATCTGAAGAAGCGTTACAGATATCAAAACATCATTTCAGTTTTCTGAAGTGCTGGCTGTGCGTCAAGGTTTGCATAATGGAATGGCAAGTTCAGACTGGACATGAGGAAGCATTTCTTTACCCAAGGTGGTCAAACACTGGAACAGGCTTCCTAGAGAGGTGGTCGATGCCCCAAGCCTGTCAGTGTTTAAGAGGCATTTGGACAATGCCGTTAATAGCATGGTTTAACTTGTGCAGCCCTGAATTGGTCAGACAGTTGAACTAGATGATCATTGTAGGTCCCATACAACTGAAACAGTCTAGTCTATTTTTTTTTATAGCAATGCTAACTTTAGGTGCTCAATTTGGAAAAGTACTTGTGCTGTTTAAGACCCCTTAGAGTCCATGACCTCTCAGAATTAAGAAGTCTCAGATCTTAGCGTTCTTTAACCAGTGCTATCCCCAAAGTTTAAAACTACTAGTCACCTTGCAAAGCAGTGCTGATCACAATAGGAAAAGTGCCCAGCAAATTCACATTACTTGCAGAAAATTAATTGCTGCTGCCTAATCACATGCTTTATTCTCATAATGACAAATTTCAAATGATGTGAGCTGTTGTGGAGACCATCATGCCCATCTACTTCAGTCTCTTGCATAATGAGCTAGGTAAAATTCCATCAAATCAAGTCTGTAAAAGAGATTCTCACGGATAAATCAGAACAGTCTTTACACTGAGGCAGAATGCTTCACATGCTAGGTAAATTGTTTCAATGATTAATTGCCCTACTTAACAATTATGACTTATTTCTTATCTGAATTTGTCCAATTTTCCTCTCAAACAGTGGAGCTCATTAAAACTTTTTACATTAAAGAACTGTCCGTCAGAAATCTCTCTCATGTAAGCAAATATCAAATGATTTAAGTTGCTTCTTAAACTTCTGGATATGACTAAGGGGACTGACTGTAAGACAGAATCAAGTCTTTCCTGAACATTTTCCATATTTTTTTTTTTTTAAAGCATTGACAAAAATGCAAGCCAAATTATTTCAACAATGTTATTAACAAGGTCAAATTAATGAGATGAAACGACCTTCTTTTTCCATTTTGTAATCTTTCAGGGCACCAGGGATACTGCACATACAACCACCCTCTTTATGATAGCAAAACACTCAAAGATTTCAGTTTAGTATTTCTCTGCATTCTTTTCAAAGGCAATGAATCCCAGAACAGTGCCTGTCAGTGCTAAAATAAAAAGCATACACTAGCCTGCCAAGTAAGGAAAGATAACTGTTTCACTCAAAGTACTGTTATAACTCTGTTGCTGATATGTTTGAAGAAAGCATAAATTGAGTTTTTCCTCAACTTCCTCTCCAAAGGAAGTTTGATTAATATGAAAGAATAGATTAAGCTGAAAAGTTCAAACTCCCAAGGTAGTAAGTAGCTAGGGATAGATTTAGAAGATATTTCAGGCTAATATTATAGAACTTTTATCTCCATAACAAACATGATGAGAAGGAAGTTTATTATCTCCCACAGACATATTAGAAGTGTGTCAGCCAATGAAGCACACAGTAGAATTCGACTGAATTTAACGGAATACTCACACGCTTGTAATTATGCACAAGCTTAAATACCTTCCCAAATTAGAGCACAGACTTCTATCGGATCTATTTCCACACATAGAAAACGTGATTTAACGAGATCTCAGCAAAATTGCTAACTGCAGTTTAAAAAAAAGTCACTGTAATGCTCTTTTAAACAACTCTACAACTCTAGTAATCAAGCACTTCAGTGATCTTCTAATTTGTTCATAGAACTTCTCAGAAAGTCTCACAGTTACTGATGTTAAGGTTCAGCTGCATTCTATGGAATTAATTTTAAATCCACCCCAAGAACACACTGGCACACTGATATACACTGATATATGGGGAGAGAACAAACCACACAGTTAAGACCTTAAAATCAGTTTGCAATTAACAGCAATATCAAGTGCTGCCGAGTACTAGATCTGTGCAGGAAGGCTTTTCAGCACTGCAATTAAAATTGACTGCTGCAACCTAGCCAAGAAGAAACACGGCAAGATGACAAATTACCTCTCGAGCTGCAACAGCAGCAACATGATTAATATACACTGACTTATGATTCTTGTAACAAAACCAATAGTAATTCCTATTTGAAATCTCTGAGTTCCAAAGTAAACCATGTATTCTGAAGGACAGTGGTTCCTCACAGAGGAGGTGCAATTAGGAAGAGATTTCTGCATTTAATTTTGGGGGGGTCATTCTGATGAACACATTCTACACTTTTAAAAAGAATGGCCACCATGAAGGCATCAAAAACATCCCCTTTGAATTATTTACTTAGTGTTCTCATTTTAGCATTTAAATTGAGTCTTGTTAGTTTAGTCATTAGTCAAAGTCAAAGAGAAAAGAAATATATTTGATGAATCTGGTTAAACTTTTGCTTTGTTTCCAGAAAGAAAAGTTTGAAACCCCACACCATATACACACATACGCAGAGTCCGTTCCACTTTAAGGTTTCAAGTTGTCCACTTCCTACCCCCTTGCGCACTGGATAGTTTAGTAATAACGCATTAAATAACACTTAATTTCTGCTTGAAATATCTTCAAGGAGAACTAAAGACTATAGATTTGAAAATTGTATCGAACAGGTTGCAAAAAGCTGATTTCATAGAAAACTTCCAGTCAGGCCCATATAACTGTGTAGAGTGTAAAAATCAGGATAGCAATAAAGAGGAGATTAAATACTCAAGGAAATCCTAAATCATCATATTAAAAATTCCAGTTAAAGGTCTGAGATGATGGCAGGCCTACATCTTCATTCAGCTGAATGAAGCTGCAGGTTTACCTTTCTCCCTTTCAGTATTTTGTATTTTTGGAAGCATGACAGGTGAAGGATTGAGAGATGCCTAGTGCAGGCAAGTGCACTTCATTGCAAAGTTCCAAGAGTTTCACTTACACTTTTTGCTCCTAAGCCACAAGATTGCCCTTTCCCTCTCACCAAAGAGTGGTTTTGTATGGAATGTGGTTTTTTGGTCCTCAAGTTTGACCAGAGTTATCTGTGTATTAAAGGCCAGCATCTTCTCACTGCTAAAACATCGCCTGAAATGGATTAGGTACTTAAGGCTCAAGGTTAAGATAGGCATTTCAGAAATTCTTGGGAAGCTTTTATGAACTTCAGGGAGGTATCCAAATCCATATTTCATGAACATCTGTAACTATGTTTTTCATAATTACTGAAGAAGGCTGTAATACATTTCGACACAACTTATCACAAATACATATGAGAACCCTTTCAAAATCCTGTTTACTTTTCAGATTATTTTCAAGTAAGCCATTCTGAAAACTGCTGGTTGCTCTAGTATTTATTCTTCCAGCAACATTAAGCAGCATTGCTGGTGTTTCTATGACTACTAGCTACATATTTTCATCACTCCAATACGGGACTGCTCATTGCAAAGTCTGATACATTTATGAGAAACTTCAGTGTCCTTTTTCACTGGGTCATAATATCCATCAGATATAAGCATCCTGACTGCTACTAAAACCTCAAATAAAAATCAGTTGATAGCGAAAATGAGAACAACAATACTGAGTGAGGTTTTCACAATTATTTTTACTGTTTTGCCTTATGAGTATTACCAACAGTCAGCATCTGACATTCACGTAGCAGAAACTGCCACTAAATTCTTGGCTTAATCCTTACCACATTTCATCTTTCTCAGCAAAAGACTTTCTTGCTTTCCCTGTTGCTTGCAATCCAAACGAACCACTGTACAAACTATTCAGATGCTCTATTTGCATGAATAATTTCATTTGAAAGACTACTCCTACAAAAGCTT